ATTACAAAATATCTAACCATACAGTAAATCTTTAATTTGCAAAATATCAATCCATTGTTTCAAACTTGACTGTTTCTTCTGAAAATATCAGTCCATCGTTTGAGATTTCATTGTTGATGCATTTTCATATCAATTGCTTTCCGTTCTCGTTCTTTCCTTTTCGATCTTCTACGGAAATACATTCTATTCCTGACTATCTTTACATACTACTTATCAGTATATAAGTAGCGCACACAATAATAATTTTATAATTTAAATCTTTATTTCATTACTTTTTTTCATTAAAAGATAGAAATCATGCTAAGTTTGTAAAAGAGTTTTATTTTCCCTTCATAATATTTGGGACTGTAATTGATTAGTGTTTATTAGCTCTTATATATCCTTGGCTAATGATCTTGATATTACAATCTAGTCACAAGTTTTATTCAAGTTGAGTAACGGGTACGATTAAAAGTTAAAAAAACATATTTCGTCAAATAAATGTGCCTATATTTCAGTGTTGAGGTTCACTTTGAGATCTTAATCCGGTACCTTTAACTTTAAACAGATCTAAAAGTTCAGCGTGAACATCAACACTGAGATACACGTACATCAAACTAACTAATCCAGATGAAGACTAAACATGCGTGCTAGATTTTCCTGCTACCCACATATCAAATATACTAAAATTCGTTACATAATTAACGAGAAATTACAGAATGAATAACTGATAGGTGTTTCATATTATAAAATACTTAAAGCTAATTCGATCATCAGGGAATGTGAAAGTGGAAATCAATAGTTAGTCAAACTGGGCCAGAGAACACAATGGAATTCAGTAGTCTAGATTTCTGACTTTTGTTAATTCACAAAATTTTGATCATCATCTAGCACAGTTGACAATATCTATCTTTTTGATTGAGATCATGAACCGATTGGTGCTAGACCACCATTGAAAACCTAGAAGCATTGGACAGCCGTTTCGTCCTATTGTATGACTCCCTCAGCAATGCGTATCCACTCGCGGGACTCGAACTCGGGGCCTTCAGTCTCGCACGCGAACGCTCAACCTACTGGGCCACTGAGCCGGCATCCAACGGATACTTTTCTCCACAACCCTTATCTCATAACTTTATTCAATACTACCTGTTTATAAATAAACGGTTAATTTGAAACCTGTTTAAAGTTTACAACACTATCGTGTCTTTTATAAACAGTTTTTTTCATCCTTTTACAACAATTCATTTGTTGTTTCTATAATGAAATATATCTCTTAGTATAATTATGCTTGGTAATTAATTGTATATATTTAGTCTGAATAGATGGTGTATATATATTATTTTTCCGTTCAATTTCTAGGTTTCCAACTAATTACAGTTTTTATTTAGTTGACTTTAGGAGTATGATACGTTTCAAACAAAAAGAATTTTACTAAAAATTATGGTAGTTAACAACACTGGAAAAAATGGCTGATAAGTTTGCGTGACCAATGTAAATTATGGTTATCACATGGGAACCAATTTATTTTTTTTTTGGGGGGGGGGCAGAGGTGACTCTTGAACTAAAATGATTATCCGTATTTTATTTTTTTAGTTATAAATTATATTATTGACTTAATGATTCCTTTCTGACTGATGATGAGACAAGGGTACTGATTCAGTTTCATAGCTTATTTTATGAATTAGTCTTATTCAGGTAACCATTGAAAGCTAAGGCGGAATGGATAAATGTTTCATTTAAGTATGTGACTTTTCGTCAATAAGCATCTGAAACCCTACAAAATATTGATTTCAGGGCCTTCAGGCCTCGAGGTGCGCTCTTAACCTTCATACTACTTTAATCATCCCGTTTCTCAACTTTCGATGGCTGTCTAAGATCGATTTGTGATGCAAATTATACAATAATCACCAAAAACCCATTATATTAGTTGTCTTGTTATTCACCGATTTCCTGTCCAATTTTTGTCATCGCATCTATTTGTTAACCATTAAATCAGTGTTTGAATGTTCATACATTTATTTTTTAGAGTCTATCTGTTTACTATGATCTCTTTACGACCTATAGTGCACTGACTAATACGATATATTAAGAAATCAAGAATGGAATTAGTGAGAAAACTCATGAATAGATTACAACTAGTTTAACAATGAATAGCAAACGATGTTATTTTTTATTAATCCTTCGTGCTGATTGTATTCTGCCGATTAATTTATGAATATCTGTTATAATTCAACATCACTTATGATATGTTTTGATGTTGTATAGTCGAAGGTAATCGATACTGGGCCACATGGCATATTTATAATCTTAGATTTGATTGTTCCGAAGGACCAAACGAACACAATAATATTCACTATTGAGTGCTGAGTGTAAATATCACACTTCATCAGGTGTTTAGTCGTAGCATGAATAGCTTAGTTTTAAAATTTCCAAATGTATTACTTGGTGATAGGAGTTTGAATCTTCCAGCGAACATCAATTCATTTGAGATTACAAATACACCCAGCTGATGATTAGCAACTGGCAAAACGCCCGAATTCGATTGCTTGGAAACAATTAAGACTGTTGTTACATAAGCCTCGTTGATAGTCTTTTTTCTTGACTATACAGTAATAATAATTTACTTTTGTATTGGTTGTTTGAATCTTCCCATTGATGTTTAGGACTGCAATCGATCAGTTTCTTATTGGCATATATGCATCTGTGTTGATTGACTCGGTATTGACTTAAATCGCAAGCATTATAAGAAAAGATGGATAGTGGTTAGCAGTGGAGTCTAGTTGGACGCGCGTTTTGTCCTATTTAGGACTCGTCGACTGGATGTACCTGTATCCCAGAATTGATGTTCACTCCAGGACTCAAATCCAGTACCGTTCACTTCAAACACCATCGTGTTATCTACTTAGCTATTGAGAGTAATAATAATAATTTGATGAATATGTATTACATGATAATCTTGTCATTCATAAGCACAAGATAACTACAGATTGTTCAAATCGATAACAAGATTTCATTATTGAGACTGTTTCAGCATGAATTATTAATTAGACCTGAAAATAGTGTTATTTTGTTTCTTTGATGAAATACCCATACTATGTAGTACTATATTATACTACAGCATAAATATCAGACTATGTTCAACAAAACGATTTTTTATTTGTATGTGTATAATTCACCGTAAGTAATTAAAATTGACAGCATTAGTATAGATTAAGGGGTTGTATTTTGTTCCATAATTCTACAACTTAATAGATTAAAAAACTGGTATAAATTAACAATACTACTATTATTATTACTACTATTATTGAATAAAATTATAAAGACCGGAAGTTTTAATGTATCTTAAATAAAACAAACTTTTTAGAATTACAGACTTATTATTAGTCGGTTAATTATTTTCGGCTAGACACAATATAAAGACTTTTTTATATTTCCTATGTAAAATGTACATCATTTATCAATGAAAATTGTTGTATTTTTCTTTCTTTTGACATCTTTTTTTTTAAAATAGTTGAGACCATGAGTTAATTGAAGTTAGACCATCATGGAAAACCTGGAAACATTGGACAACCGTTTCGTCCTATCGTGGGACTCCTCAGCAGTGCGCATCCATGATCTCGCCCCTCCGCTCGAGATTCGAACCCAGAATCTATCAATTTTGATTACGAGCGCTTAACATCTGTTTGTAATGAAAACATGTACATTAATGAGTTAACTAATTACTATGATACTAAATATTTACTTCAAGTTACAATAACATGAAGTAATGGTCAAGTTTAATGATTAATATTGAAGTAATAGTTATTCGTAAAGTAAAGCATCAATGGTCTTTTGATACTTTTCTATTCAAGTATGAGTCATGATATATATATATATATATATATATATATATATATATATATATATATATATATATATATATATATATATATATATATATAAACTCGGAAAAGGCTAACTATAATTATTGAAAGTTAACATAGATGTATAATCCTTCAGATCTCTACGAAAAAACGATAAGGCTATAGAGGATGGTATTCTCGTCGTATAGAGGGAGATGCATAAATTATATGAGATAAATTCTTTATGATTTTATAGTTGTTTGATTTAAAAACTGATCGATGATTGAGTAAAAGGTGATCAATGTCAAGCTACTCTAATCTTTTAATGCCCATTAAATTCTATAGATTAAATTGTTATATGTTCATCAGTTTAAGTAACTTAACCTCGTCTCGATTATCCTGAGATGTTAAGTGATTAATAATCGTCGACAGGAAACTCTACTTGACTTGATTGATTTGAGCTTTGTTTAAATTGGTTCTTGTTAGGAAGGTGGACTTGTTATCTGTAAGGAACTGATATTGACTTTCGGATTCGGTGTGAAATCGATTAGTTTCACTATGTTTGGTCCATTGAACTACACAGATGACATCAAATATTTTCTGATTATTAGGATTTAAGTGTTGGACAATAATAATTTAATATATTAGGAACTGACGTAAACATAAGAACTATAAAAAATCAAGGGACTTTGATCACAAATTTCAATTCATTGGGTGGGACTTGTAACTAGTCTATATTGCAATAGGTACAGTATTATTTAGCTCCCTTAAGGGATTATCAAGTTCATTTACTATGATGCGGATTCCATACATTACCATTTGTGACACTATTTCATTTTTAATCTGATTAAGTTAATAGATTATAGCTTGTAACTAGAATTTCATATTTGTCCATCTTGAGACGAGTCAAAGGTGTATGACTTGTCATTGTACAGTACAACAAATGTATCAATTCGTTTCCATCTACGACTAACATCAATTGACAAACCAAATAAGATATGGTAACTCATAAAGTTATGAGAATAAAGATATTGGAAATAGCAGATAACTGAAACATGAAGTTTAGATTACTTGGATTATTATAAATAAAGTGTAACGATTAGTTCTCCTCTTCTTCATCGTCTGTATCTTCATTTTCAAAGTTAAAGAACCGAAATTCATAAGAATTCTTTGATTTCGCTACCATGAAAAGGAAATCTTGCAATTTGTGACTTTTGAGGAATTTTTTGTCAGATATTTAAGATACCTTTTCGAAAAAGGGATGTTTGCGGTAACATGTATGGTTGATTTGTCACGTTCAATGTGAACATCTTTCCCAAGATTATTAAGCTTATTATCTACTTTTATGTGTTCCTTTAAACATTTTTCATGTAAACTAGGGATAACTATATCTTCATCAATAACTCCAGGCGGAATGCATCTACTGAACTTCAGGACCTGCTTTTTCTTTGAGGCTGATTTATGCGACTTCGGATTCGGGACGGATTTTGCAACCATGCCGAAACCTGCTATTAACCGTCAATTTAAATAGTTGATTATTGAAAGGAGTATCTAATACCGAAACAAATGATATTTATTTAAACAGTTGGTCTAAATGAAATCTATGACCAATCATCAAATAAATATAAATATGAGATAATACTTCGTCAAAGTACTTTATAGTACTTTTATAGTACTTCTTACTTGAAACATAGATTGTTATACTATTGTGGTTCGTGCTACTTATATATAAGTAGTATATGACGCGAGTCAGGAATGTAATGTCTGGCAGCAGAAGATGAGGAACATCAAGAAAGGAAGAGCGGGAATAGAAAGCAATTAGCATGGAAATGCAGGAGCAACGTAGTTCGAGACAATTATTGAACATTTTGCAAATTAAGAATTAGAGTATGGTTTTTCTATTTTACCAAGTAATTGTAATTTTGTGTTAAATATAATTTGGTTGTCCTCACCTGTGTTTTCCTTCGCTAAACTATGAATAATACTGTACTGATTTTCAATTCTGTGATACAGTACACTATCTAGTTTACATTCGTCAAATAATCAAACTGTAAACAACTTATTCGTAACTTTTGTATATTATATGTTATATTGTTGTCACATAGTTACACAGTTATCCACCCCAACGACAACACTTTTTTTTCACAAATATCATGACTACATATTATGGTTAACATCAGATGGATATCTAAAGTTCACCTATTAAATTAACTTGGTATAATTTATTATCCAATAACAATGACTACTGGCTAATACAATAAGCTTTTTATCAGGTCAAAATCTATTTAAATATCACTTTATTATAAACATCTTAATAACTCATTAAATAACATTGTTTAGAACTATGGCAACCTGAAGTTGAAGCTTCAGGTCATATAAGAGAATGATAAATATAATATAAATTATGCATTATAGAATAGAATTATACTCAACCTAGATACTGGTCATAAGTCAAAAACATACCTGAAATAGGATCATGATCAACAAGCGATTGTATTTTATTATTAAACAAATATTTTGTTGTTGTTGTTGTTTTTATTTTATATAAAAAACCATTCAAATCTTGTTATTGTGTAGCATGCAATTTGTAATGAAATGATGTTTCATACTTTTTATTCTATTCCATTTTAACTTAACTGTTTATGGATAATTTCATGTTATTTAAAAAAAATAAAACAAAATGATTTAAATGGTAGTTGTGGTGATTAGATATCATAATGGGTTGGTATGAGCTAGGGAACAACGAGAGAGAGAGGGGGTATTAAACAATTCAGTATTGTGTCATCACCAAGGGAACACATCTAAGATCTTCAGATCTCGAGTCGAGCAAGAGAGTTAGAATTGAATGGTTTATATTTTTATCTTTTGTTAATCCACAATATTTTGCATATTTCATATGCATGGAGTACTAAATAAAGATAGTAGATCAGTTAAATCTTTATCAACTGAGGTAATTGGGATGTGTGGTACGCATCTCCAACTACCGTCGAATTTTGAATGATGTAGGAGGGACCAGAAAACCAAGATATAGATTCAGTTCATGAAAATTGGTAATTGTTGGATTAAATCTTGTTGATAGATGTAGGCTACATGGTTAAGGTGTTTGTAATTATTATGACTAGTGGTTGAAATAGCTCAAAATCAGTTTCAATATTTCAAATACATTTACTCCTTTTCTTCTCTTAGATTTTGAATTTTTAAAATTATATCATACTTTAAATTCACTTGGTATTGTTTTACTTGTATCTTTCCATAGTTGTTTAGGATTGCAATTGATCAGTCTCTCATTGGCATATGTGCATCTGTGTGGATTGCCTCGATAGTGACTTAAATCACAAGCATTATGAGCAAAGATGGATAGTGGTTAGCAGTGGAATCCAGTTTGACGTGCGTTTCGTACTACTTGAGACTCGTCAGCTGGATGTACATGTATCCCAGAGTTGATGTTCACTCATACTTTTTTTTATTTCTGCTGGTTCATTCTTTCTTGTCAAGTGACATAGTCTTTCCCTAATATTTCCTACTATCATTGATATAGTTATTACTTCTATCGATTTGGAATGTGTTTTGATAATTTCGACTTGCTGTAGTGATGTTATGAAACAGTGTGAATTGAAGTACATTTATTAAGTTCTGTGTTGACTATGAGTGATTAATTGCATATTTCATTAGATACTATTGATCAACAACTATTATATTCAAAACATGTTTGAATTAAATCAGTCAGAACTTTTCACCAGAACATTTCGAGAATTCATTTCAAATTTTAATTACTAATAAACTTACAATTAGCATTTTTCAGAAGGGGTTTTGTGGAAATTATAGAAATTTCAATAGTTGAAATCATGAGTCGATTGAAGCTAGACCACCATGGAAAACTTGGAAACACTGAACTGCCGTTTCATCCTAGTAACTGACTTCAAGAGGCATTTCCTGGAGTTCTAGTGAGAAGCAGTGACCAGTAGAGTTCAACCGAGTCAGTTGTGAGATAATAGTAACTCACTGATGATAATGGTGGATGTGTCGCTCAATTTCGTGGATTAGTTGAAGTTAGACATTAACACCATTGGATGCCGTACACATCAGTGGTGTAGAGGTTAAGCGCTCACGCACGACACTGATATGTCCTGAATTAGAATCTGGCGATGCGAGATCGTGGATGCGCACTGCTGAGGATTCCTATACTAGGAAGAAATGACCGTCCAGTTTTTCCAGGTTTTCCATGATGATCTAACTTCAATTGACTCATGATTTCAACTATTGAAATTAGCATTTAATTAAAAGGTTTAAAGAAATCAATCAAAGTGAAAATTGTTTTTGTTTTTTAAATGAATTAATATCAATAAAGAAATTGATAGTCATGATGTTTGTAAAGAGGAATTTTAATTTTATAAACAATTGTACTTAGTCACCAACCATTGTCTGACTTTTTTATTTTCCTAGACAACTTTCTTAATCAATGTATTCTCTTAATCTTCTCACAGTTACACAATCTGCCAATTATCACATTCCAAACTAAGTTTCCATTATTTATTTTACCAGAAATGATCCCACTATTAATTTGTTTATTTATTGTCTAGCTTAATTGATCATCATTAAACTATCTCAATATGTAATACTTATTTGACATACTATATAGACAGTCATTATATATATATAATTAATAGGTTAAGTAGTAAAATGAGACGTTTTTAGATATTGAGAATTTGTGTGAACATAACAACATGTAATGATGACAAGTAATAAAATGATCTAGTTACTTACCTATTTGTATTATAAAGGGTGAGAAACATTTCAAACTTTACATTGTTCAGTAAATATAACACAATAATGAACATTAAATGAATAGTCTATAATTATCATCAGTGATTAATTTATGGTTATGTAACTATACTGTTAAAATGTACATTTCTATCCATTTGTTAATAAGTGAGATCATTACAAATGATGGGAAATACTTGAAGGAAAATAAAAAAAAAGGTTATAATCCTTGATTAGTAACGATGAGTCTAATCGTAGTAGATTCTTACTAGCAACCAATGATTGAGATCTTGAAAACATCTAAATGTATTGACTAACGAATATGATTTAAGTTTTTACGTTAAAATAGCATTTTCTGAATTAGACAGTTGAATAATAAAGATTCTATTATCTTTCTAGACAACATTATCAGAATAAACTCCAGATGGAAGTGAAGTATAAGAACTTTTCTACAGATGAGTAGCAGTTAGTAGATTCTGTCTTTGATCCTTGTCATAATAGCCATGAAACAATCAGTGTAAATATTAATTTATTTGGCCCATACAATACGTTTTAACATCTGGTAGTCACTTGTAAAAAAAGTTTTGCAATCCACTTCTATTCAAAGTTTCTGCTTCTGATGCTGATGATGATTATGATCAAACCATTACTAGGTCAAACAACTCACTTTCAATAAGATCATCCTCTCAAGCTCCAAATCATCTTCATGATCTAAGTTTTGCAATGATGATAACTGAATCATTTGTAAAGTATACAATTAAGCTGTTTTCTGAAAAAACCCTAAAGCAACAGATAACATGATGATTATCTCTATTCATTATGAGTGTCCCGCATCTAAACTAAAGCATAAAGACTACGATCAGGTCTTTTTCTATCATGTATTAGTGAAAGTCCTTGATTCATATGAATCCTGATAGGTAAAGCTGCTTGTCAGCCATTATATTCCTTAAGTTAACACTTTGCATTCGGAATTGAACAAAAGAAAAGAGTGTACTATGAAGACAGGAGGTTTATGGATATCTTAGAAGATAATTTACAGCTAAAGATTAAGTGAAAATCAATAAGCGTTGGAAAAGAGTATAAGTCTAGTACTAGAGCCTTCATAAATATGTACTAAGTACCCTTTCAGGATTTAAACCCGCAACTTTAAGGGTCTTAACCAATCGAGTCACTGCCCAATGATCGAATTGATTACGCTCCTAATGAGACAGCCGTTACCAGTAAAAATGGCTGATAGTCGTGTAGTATAGTGATTTAATTAAAGTTAAACATGTGAGCCATAAGACGGTAACTTGGTTGTCTAAGTTAATGATTTCTTTACGGGGCATGAAGGTTTTATGCTTAAAACTTGGTTTAGGTAGTGGTTGTGTGAAGGTAGGGAGTCCGTTCGAGAAACAAACAGCTTTCCAATGTCCCTTGGATCTCAGTGACTATATGGCTAGAGTCTCCTCAAAATTCGAACTATCTTAAAACTGATTAATTATATATCTATTTGAGTAAAGAGTCTATTATTATGACAATATATTGACCATATATAGTCGTCGTTACGGGTTAGAATCATCCGTGACACCATTGAAAACTAGGAAGTATTAAATAGCTAATCTGTTACAAATTTGAAGTCCTTTACAATGGACATCAACAATCCCAGGAATTCCAAGCTTCATAATGGGAACGAAACATTTAAACAACTGGGTTACTATCTAGTGCTCTACATTTTCAACTTATAGACTGCAGTG